AATAGATATGATGTTATGTTGAACCATAGCTGGGATCATTTGTAACAGATTTTAGCTCCATAAGCATAGTAGTTTCATGGGAAAATGCAAGACTGACTGACTGACTGAGTTTAGTTTTACGCCGCTTTTAGCAATATTCCAGCAATATCACGGCGGGGGACACCAGAAATGGGCTTAACACATTGTGCCCATGTGGGGAATCGAACCCGGGTCTTCGGCGTGACGAGCCAACGCTTTAACCACTAGGCTACCCCACCGCCCCGAAAATGCAAGAGTTCACAATGGACACAGAATGGACACCCATGACACCCCAAGCTCTTACTTCTTGTCAGGTGAGACTTTCATGTCAGGTGAGACCTCCAGTCAGGTGGGCCTTCAGTCAGGTGAGACTTTCAGTCAGGTTAGCTCAAACATCAAAACTATCTCCCTCTTTTCAACCTTGACCTTAACCTAGTCAATCTCTAAACCATTGACCCTTACATCAGTTAATCACATTAAGTGCGAAAAATGACCTCAATATCATAGGCTTAACTTGATTAGTTTTATCCGAAAATGGCTCCAATTACATGCTCCAATGCACAATTAAATTGAAACTGTTGGTATTTCCTTGAAATTCTATGATAAATCACCAGAAGGGACCAAGCTAGCAGACAACGTTGATTTTAATTTGATGACACAATCCACATCTCCATGGCAAGTACGAGACTTTCACTCTCCTGTCTTATCAGCGCCCTCTGGTCCGAGATGAAATTCTGTCATTCCATGTAATCAAATCTCGTTTTCTCCAAATAAATGGTGCACTGAGAAAATCAGTGTCTGTCTGGCTTACATCATGTAGTGAAATTTGAATTTTTTTGTAAAGGATACACCATTATTAACTTGGTGAGTTAGCTGCATTTCAATCAAACCTAGAGTTGTGAGAAATTATAAAATAACATCATAAATAACAGAACACTAGGGGAAAATCAATGCAGTTATTTCAAGATATGGAGTCATTTTTAATACATCCATCCAACATGCAAACTTTAAAGACTTTGAATGAAGGCCCTTATGAAGAGAATTGATTATTACAGCCTCACAGTTATATCCCGAGATGGAACTCTGTGCAGCACAAGCTTCACCCTGGCGGGAACCACAACTCACTAATTTGCCTACCAATCTATCATGCCTGCAGTAAAGGACTAGAAAAACTGGGAAAAAGAGGCATAAAGCGCTTCATTATTGAAAACGTTTAAAAGCTCGGAACAATTATCTCCACTTAGCAGCTTCCTATACTGAGACTCTACTTTACATGTCAGTATGAAAGATCAACAAAACTCTATAGTACAATCTGCAGGTCAGTTTAGCATTTTCTTGGCATGTTTCAATGATGCATCCATCAATATTCCTACTGTATGTTGGCAGCCTTTAAACATTCACATCTTGACCAAGGATTAATGTCATGAACAAAGTTCCACGCCATCTAGAAACAATAGCCTGCAGCTGACCAGATTACAGTCCGAGACTACAACCTGACAGTATGTTGACAGGGTATGTAGTTCCGAGACTACAAACTGACAGTATGTTGACAAGGTATGTTGTCATGGTATGTTGACAAGGGTATGGTTAAACTGTGTAATGACACATCATGTTGACGTAATATAAATAGGTATGGTGATACGATATGATTACATATCATGACACTGTATGTTGACATCTCATGTTGACATGGTTTGAACTTTTCTAAAGACATGCCATTTCATGTCACATGGTATGAGTGAGTGAGCGAGTTCAAATTTAATGTCACCTCGGCAATCAATATTCATGTGGTATGAAGGCTTTGTATGAAGACATGGTATTTCATAGCAAGAAGACATGGTATGCCACATGGTATACCACATTGTATGATGTCATGATTAGGGCTGCAGCGATTCGGTTCGATTCATCGAAAATCGAATCTGACACCTCAGTTTCGATTTTCGAAAATCATTATTATTATTTCAATTTGATATTTGAATACCGATTTAAGTTATTTCCATACAGCCAGAATGTAATTTTAACTCCAACTCGAGCAGTTTCGAGCACTGAAGTAAGGCGAAATGTGATTGGTTGATGCCAGGCTAATTATCCAATGAGAATTGTTGTTAGTAGACATCACCAAGTTGACAATGGATTTCAGGCTAAAAAAAACGACACTGACAGTTAAATGAAATCTGATGTTTTTACTTGTATGAAGAATCGAATAAAAAATTATCAAATTGAGGGCCCAATATTGAAAATCAAATCAAATCGAGGTCTGGGTGAATCATTGTAGCCCTATACATGGTCAGCTGCCAAGTCACAGTCAAGACACACTGACATGGCACAGCGTCAGCTCTGGAGGCTCCTCAACATCAGATAGTCTAAGCTGTGAAAGATTCAACATCTCAATCAAAATACCAAAATATCATAGGAATCTGCAGATCACACACAAGTAAATAAGACGCAACAACAGTGAGGTGTTGCTCACCTACATGACTCTTTATGAAACTGTTTATGAGCTCTGATTTACCAGACTCAACCATACTGGATTACGCTACCAAAATTTTCACTTAACCACACGAAAGGTCTATCTGCCAATCAAGCATACGTTTTACTTTGATCTCATTTCAAGCTAGACAAAAGGCAGCAGAATCTGTCATACTTTTCAATGACTGCCTGAACATCAAAGCCTGTCCCTGAGAACATACTTGTGAGGTTCTTCCAGTGACAGGTCTCAATAGCAGACAAACAACTAAACGCTTCAAAAGCTGGGTTTATTCTAAACCAAGTGGTCTATTTCTGCTCCTGTCAATAGCAGTGAAAGAAGGGTGTATCATAGGGTTGTAGAAAGCCTCAATAGGTGTGTGATCAGTCTGTCTTTGAGGGACCATTTAATGAGGTACTTGAGACAGTCTTGCCATGAAATCATCACACTTGCCCTGAATCTGTGAAAAGAGTACTTAAATGGTTACTATGTATATCATTCATGGTAAAATCTTCATTGTCATAGGTGCTTGCATTGAACAATACGAAACAACAGACATATAATGCCATAGATAGTATCATTGTAAACCCTCAGCTGTCTGATGAACACTCATGAACACATTCATCAGATATCCATTCTAAAATGTGGAGAGTTCATTATCAAATATTTCACACTAAAACCACCCAAAGAAATCTGATAAACAAACCCAAACTACTTCACAAGGTCTGGGGCTGAGAGAGTCTCACAGTCAAGTGATTTTATGTCTGCAACTGGTGTTATATCTGCGACTCTACATGAACACGCAACACACAGCTGATTAAAGTTGCTGTCCTGGCTTACATGTGACACTGTATTCAAAGGTGTGTGTGTGAGTTTAGTTTTACGCTGCATATAGCAATATTCAAGCAAAATGACAGCTGGGGACACCAGAAATGGGCTTCACACATTGTACCCATGTGGGGAATCGAACCCAAGTCTTCACCGAGACAAGCGGATGCTTTAACCACTTGGCTACCCCACCGTTCCCTGTATTCAAAGGGTACATATCATTGCCCCAGTCAACTACTGACTTGCCAAACTCCATTTTTTACAGATGCTGTGATAAACTGAAATATTTCCAATCTTCAAAGCTAATATCTGAACCAATAATATTTGCCAATGAATCACATTACACAGTAAAGCTGTAAGAGCAATAACAAGCTTTTAACAACAATCACTGGATTACCTCATTAGGATGTAACCATGTACAAGCCACAATCCTTTCATCAGTCACAGGAATATAAGAATAGATTATTTTAAGGCCACATTGGTCACAAAAAGAATCACAAGATTATCTGGTCCTGACTCAATTATTTATTGGCTACTGTCAAACAGACTGAGTATCATGTATCCCTGAAACAACAAAGGATACAAAAGGAATGAAAAGTTAATCTCGTCATCATTTAAATGATCTATAACTTGTGTAGAAATTTGAAACATAATCAGATTTATCCAATTTTAGGATAACAGGTAATATGCATTGGATTAGCTGTGTATTTCAACATTTAGTTTCTTTTTTCTGCTAAGTTTTTGGCATTCAGAGGTTGTGGAAGGATAACCCTTCAGAACATCTGTCGGCCATTTGTAAATCAAAGTTAGTGTTAGGATGGCACTGAGCGTCTGCGGTCAACTGCCCAGCTTATGTATATTTTATGGTTCACACATACACAAATGATTCTCATAACTTTGTCCCAATCTGCACAGGATCAGCTGGCCTCCATTCACCATCATAATTTCATCAGACAATCACAACAGCTTGGCCCCCCCAATCAATGCCTTATCGCACTGATGGTATCTGGCAGAATACCTCCTATACGCCAACATTCCCATGCTAAATGGAGCAGAAAAAATAATCAAACACCGATAAACCACGCTCATGGCTGACAGAATGACAAGTTACTACTTCAATGTTGGCTTTGGAAAAATAAATTCAAACATTTTTGCCTGTGGATACAATATTATGTCTGAAGATGTCATAAGCTAAATTTGGTGAAACCTTTTATATTCTAAAATTTATGGACAAAAGGAAATCTTAGGATTGATTTGGTAGTTGAGACAAGTTCTGATAAAATCAAACCAAGAGTTATGAAAAGGATTCTGTCTGGACTAAAATGTTTACATGATCTTCAATGGCATATCAACTTAATTTTGTTGAAGCTTTTCTAAGTGCAAAAACCTTTGAGCTGTTAAACTGCAAATACAATATAACTATATATTTTTTCAATAGCACCGAGAAACTGTTATCTTCAAAGACAGGGTTTACATTTTATCTTTTTATTTTTTCAGTGGGATGTTTCAGCATAGATGTTTGTGCGCTCATCAGCAAGCACCTGTACTAAAACATTGCATTGTAAGAATAAAGAAGTTGATGTCCATGAAACAACCCTTTTTTCATATATCTATGAGTTCAAGCTGGCTCTTGATCATATTATAACATTCTAGGTGCCAAGGTTTGACTTTAATGTTTACAGGGGCGGTGGGATTGCCTAGTGGTTAAAGCAATCGCTCGTCACGCCAAACACCCAGGTTCGATTCCCCACGTGGGTACTATGTGTGAAGCCCATTTCTGGTGTCCCCCCGCCATGATATTGCTAAAAGTGGCGTTAACACAAAGTCACTCACTCACTAATGTTTACACCCACACAGGCACTGAAACCAAAGGAGTAGAATAGTGGTTAAATTATAGTTCAATAACTGTGGTTCACTCATCACGCCTAGGAGGTTCGATTCAATGCATGGGCACAATGTGTGAAGCCCATTTCTGGTGTCTCCAGCTGTGATATTGCTGGAATATTGCTAAAAGCATCACAAAACTCCCATACTCTCTTGCTTACTCATTTTTGAGAAATGAGAAAGGAGAGCTCTGCAACACAATCACCACAAAATTATGTATTTTTTTTATAGCACGGCACTGGAGACATCAGAAATGGGCTTCACACACTGTACCCATGTGAGGAATCGAACCCGGGTATTTGTCGTAACAAGCAAACACTTTAACCACTAGGCTACCACACCACCCCCTTGAAACAGAGACATCTGTAAAGATCTGGATTACCAATCAATCAGAATTTAGTATTTGAGCACTGAAGGAAACACAACACATTCTGCACTGAAAATATAACACTAACTCTCAATACAAACTAAGCAGATTTTTCATTCTGGGAGACAGAAGTGTTTCAGCATTTCATATAAATTTGTGACTTTTTTATGCCAAAACACCAGGCAGCGTCATATCCAGTCTACAAGGAAATGAAATGGCACATCACCATCAACCTGATTATTGAAGGTTTTCATATTAGATAAGGCTGAACACACTTAGCTCTCTTGGGCAAACTTTAGAAACAGAGTTGTTGGCAGCCAGCCACCATGGGGTTGAAATATGGTCTACCTGGGTGTCAGGCATTCCAAACATTTGTCTAAGCGCTTGTGTGTTCTGAACCCCTTTTGAATAACTTTTGTTTGCATGTTATAGGATTTATTCTTGTATAATTAGGAAATTACGCAATCAATTATGTTGCCACTCAAATCATGTGCCAGTGCCCCAGAAATCAAATTAGTCTGTTACGGGAGTGGAAATATCAAGCTGTCATGTTCAGAAGCCTTCCAAAAGGAGCAGAAAATAAGGAAAATTGTTGTTAAAATATTAACATTTGGATGGGATGATATCCTTACCTAATACATTAATAAAGAAATATTTGAGTCAGGATTATGATATACAGTTTGTGTCATTTTTGCATGAAGCTCTGAATGTTCCGTGTTGCAAGTTTATTCCTGTCAGCCAGTTTGAAAACTTAAGTTTCCGCTTTTTTGCAGTCAGCTTCAGAATTTTGTCTTATAATACATGAAAAGTTAACATCTTTCCAAGAGGTCATACTAATTCATAAATATTTTTAATACATTTTATTTTTGGAAAATGTATGCAGAATTCAGAAATGAACTAATCAAGGTATAGTTATCACATGGTTATCATCAAGAGGAAATCTGGTGAGATGTGACAACCCTATTTCCCACACCCAAGGCAATTCTCTGCAGTATTTTCGTAATGTTTCATCTCCGCTCTAGCGTGGTGGAGTGAGTGAGGATGCTTCACGCTCCTGACGCAGTCCTGCAGTAATCTCAGGGTTCTGATGCCAGGAATTGCTTCACACATTGTTCTCATAAGCAAGTGAGGTGAGGTGAAATGGGTTTAACATCGTGCTTGAGAATATTTCGGTCATATGACGACATGCATGTGTGTATATGTGTATGTCCGGCTGCTTGTACTAGCCCAGACTGAAGCTGGTTTTATAGTGCTAGCCCACTGAGTTACCATGCCGCAGTGAAGCATGAATACCCCACTCAGACACATTATACTGACTCCCGAGCCGACCAGTCCTTGTTGTACCCATTAATGCCGAGCGCCAGGCAGGGACCAACAAGTACCATATTTTAATGTCTTTTGGTATGACGCGGTCGGGGATCGAACCCGCGACCTTCCGCTCTCCGGGCGGACGCTCTAACCACTATAAGCAAGTGAACCACATGACCAACCACAATGAGGTGAAGGTCATGAAGGTGTAAATATTAACAAATACGTTAACAAGTTTTCTGTTAAATACAGTGAGAGTTTATTTTTACCCAACTTTCAGCAATATTCCAGCAATATCACAGCGGGGGACACCAGAAATGGGCTTCACACATTGTACCCATGTGGGAATTGAACCCGGGTCTTCCGGAGTGACAAGCGAACACTTTAACCACTTGGCTACCCCACCACCCTTATCAAATACAGAGAAACCTTCAAAGTCAAAACCTCATTTATCTGGACTTCTCATTTTCTAGCCAATCTTGTTGGGAATGTTCACATGACCATGTACAAAGTGACATCAGGATGAATGATCTTATACACTGGCCTTTATATTAATGATGTGAGTCAGCAAGTTTGATAATCTGTAGGTACACTCTGTCCAGACTTACAAGGTCTCACTGAATATCCAATTTTGAGCGAATCTCCAGCGAGAGCATCAGAGAATGAAAGATACGGTTCCAGATACATAAATACCAAAATAACCGAAACTCAAAACACTAACCAGCAATTTGATGTTCATTTTGTCCCAAAACAAAATACAACACACATTCCAAGGTTTCTCACGTTGTAATCATCTCACCTCTTTATCTGTTTGAGAATCTTATTGAACCGTGTAAAGATCGTATTTTCCAAACACGCAAAAAAACTTACACAAACATCCCCCACCTACATCACTCAACATGCAACAACTTCATGGGGTGTAATTGTCAAAATCACGTCAGCCTCACAAACTCAGATTGAGCATATCTACAAAATCCCTTTGATGGCACCCTTTGATGTTTTTCGCCATAATGTCAAACAGGACCCCATGCAAGAACTAACATATTATCATCAAAACAAGGGGGCCCCTGCTGTTTCAAATTTCACGTTAATGTTTGAGTTGAGACCTATTAAAGCAAAATTGAAGCTTTGAGGATAAAACAGTGACTCTCGGAAATCAGTTTGTGTTGAGTACAATCCTAGACCTTGGATGTATTACAGTGAAAGCACATATGGTACCCACATCTATTGCAACTACATATTTGTAGAGTATACATGTATTGTTAAAATACAGCAAGTACACTTGAAAATAACTTGATCTCAAACCATTATAGATTTATAAACCTGGAAGGTTTTTTTCACCATATCAAGTTTATGGTTTAAAATATTTATTTTCGGAAACCTGGGTTGGTAAACAAGCAGTTTAGGTTTATATATAGCCCCAGTAACATAACAATTACAAAATCATGATGGTTATAAATAAACAGTTGACAACTCAAGTTTATGCATTGTTGTTCTTCGTGTGTAATTTCACAGATTAAATATTACACATAATTGATTTAGAAACACAAACAGAACATTAGTAAGATAAACATGACAACCAACCAAAATGCAATATAATTTCATTCCTAAATTGGAAACAATCAAAACAGAAATACTCGCATCGTATTTCAGAAACAGAAATTGGATTTGGAATCAATATCTGTTCAAAATCTGTTTGCAAAATCTGGTCTGTAACAAAATATTGTATCCCTGTTATTCATGAAAATACAAAAAAGGTTGTCGCTTGTAGAAAAGTTCCCATCTTAACAACATTGGTTTAATGACTGTTGAATAAGTACGTATCTAGCAAAGTGGCAAACATGACTCGATAACTAGATACATCAAGCTGTACCTATCTACATGACTCGATAACTAGATACATCAAGCTTTACCTATCTACATGACTCAATAACTAGATACATCAAGCTTTACCTATCTACATGACTCAATAACTAGAGACACCAAGCTGTACCTATCTACATGACTCGATAACTAGATACATCAAGCTGTACCTATCTACATGACTCAGCAATAGAAACTTAACTTTTGAAGACAAAACTCTATAGACACCCAACAGCAAAAACTTACATTGCGCGCTCCCCATTGTGACAATACCTTGATGTGCTGCAACATGGGAGACTTGTGTTAAAGCCACAGTAATGATGATGGTAATTCTCCCGATGAGTAGGGAATCAATGAAGCAGTTACATCAGCTAACACTGACGGAACACGGAGCAGCAGCTTCTCGCACTCAACTTGCAGCTCGCAGAAAATGATGGACACATGACGTATCCTCTGCTTCCTATCAGCCTGGCTTAATTCTCACAGTATGTCCTGGAGTGAACGGGGGGGGCCAGTTGCTTGGAGGATATGTGCAATAAATCGGTTGTTTTATTGGCAGCCGGTGGTTCAAAACCTTTTCAAACACAATTTATAGGTGTAGTCATCTGAAGCATCATACTTCTTGTCATCTTCATCAGCATCATATATGTCATCTTGGTAAGCTCATACTTGTCACCCTAGTCATCATACTAATCACCCTAGTCATCATCATACTTGTCACCCTAGTCATCATCATACTTCTTGTCATCTTCATCAGCATCATATATGTCATCTTGGTAAGCTCATACTTGTCACACTAGTCATCATCATACTTGTCACCCTAGTCATCATCATACTTCTTGTCATCTTCATCAGCATCATATATGTCATCTTGGTAAGCTCATACTTGTCACCCTAGTCATCATCATACTTGTCACCCTAGTCATCATCATACTTCTTGTCATCTTCATCAGCATCATATATGTCATCTTGGTAAGCTCATACTTGTCACCCTAGTCATCATCATACTTGTCATCCTCATCAGCATCATCATCATCTTTCTTGTCATCTTCATCAGCATCATATATGTCATCTTGGTAAGCTCATACTTGTCACCCTAGTCATCATCATACTTGTCACCCTAGTCATCATCATACTTGTCACCCTAGTCGTCATCATACTTCTTGTCATCTTCATCAGCATCATATATGTCATCTTGGTAAGCTCATACTTGTCACACTAGTCATCATCATACTTGTCACACTAGTCATCATCATACTTGTCACCCTAGTCATCATCATACTTGTCACCCTAGTCATCATCATACTTCTTGTCATCTTCATCAGCATCATATATGTCATCTTGGTAAGCTCATACTTGTCACACTAGTCATCATACTAATCACCCTAGTCATCATCATACTTCTTGTCATCTTCATCAGCATCATATATGTCATCTTGGTAAGCTCATACTTGTCACACTAGTCATCATCATACTTGTCACCCTAGTCGTCATCATACTTCTTGTCATCTTCATCAGCATCATATATGTCATCTTGGTAAGCTCATACTTGTCACCCTAGTCGTCATCATACTTGTC